TATATCCCACACCCTCTTGGTGAACAGAGGTGTAGCTATCCCTCACTCCCACCCACTTTCTGGGCTGGCAGGAATTCCATTGCCATCTGCATGCTCAGAAGGAGCCTTGGGTGCCCTGCCACACCCTGATTTTTTTTTTCCTGTTTTCTAGTTCGTTTGTTTTTGCCTGTTTTAAAACTACTATTATTATCACTACTTTTGCCCTTTTTACTATTATTCTTTATTCTTCCCATCCCAGGTTCTATTTTTCAGCTTTTTTCTTTCCCCTGTTTCTGGTTGCATTTTTTTTTTCTTTCTTGCGGTTAACCCCATTCCTTGTTTGTCTTTCTGTGTTTTACCCATTTTTTCTTCATTATTCTCCTTCTCTACCTTTTTTCTCTTATTGCCCTTTCCCCGGATATTTCAGGGGTTTTTTTCCCCCCTCCTTCTTTTTCTCTTTTTCTTTTTTGGTTACTGTTCCTGTGTGATTACATGGTATATTTCTTGTCCATTTGCTTTTACTTTTTTGATGGTTATTCAATTATTATTTTTGTCTAACTGAGTGGAAGACAGCAACAGTCCCCATACAACACAACTACACCAACACCTCCTGCAGTTTCACTTACTAAGTGAGAGCTACCACTTCCTTCTCCACCAACGGGCCAATGATAAACAACCACTAAGAAGAGCCTGAATCACCCTTGGCTGCTCTTCACAAGAAGTTAACAGAGATCTAAGTACAACAATGCCACAATGTCTTGGAGACAATAGACCATCACAGTCCACACACAGAAGCAAGATAAAGTGGTAGAAACAAGGGAGCAGGATACAGACCCATAACACATCCCTGACAAAGAAGCAGCATTAGAATTCTCTGATAAGGAATTCAAAAGAATTATACTTAGGTGTCTTCAAAAGATGGAGAGACAGACCAAAGAAAACACAGACAAAACTCTAGAAGAATTCTGGAAGAAAATACAAGAACAAAATGACAAAATAGATGAAAAATTAGAAATGCTTTTAAACCTACAGATAGAAATCCAGAAGATTAATACTAAATTGTCAGAAATAGATAACACATTGAAAGGGCAAAGGAGTAGTAGCACTG